TTTTATCCAGCACTCCCTCCTGGCCTTGCCTCTGCTTTGTGTGTTCTTTGATAGTTTTACTGTGTCTTTACTTTGCAACAAGCAAAATCTTCCCCAGGAGACTACAGGCTTCTCCATTCCCTGCTCGTCATCTATGGTGACACCTCCTGAAGCCATAAGTGCTTAGAGGCTGAGGACAGAAGATTCTCACTGTGTGTTCCTGGAAATACCATGAGGATGATGATGCTTTACCACTTTGTCTCAAGGCACAGTTGACTCCTACTGATCTCCTTTATTTGGTGGTGGGGTTTTTGCCCCTTTCCTGTTGGGGGTTAGGTGATTAGCCTGGTTAGAACATCTGCTGTCATCTTCAGAGATGAAAAATGTGAAAACTCATTTATTCTGATTTATGTTGTCTGCTTCATGCAATTCTGAATACTCTTATACAAAGAAAATGCATAATTTATCACTGCCCCATCTCTGTTGGCAAGTGTGCTGTGCAGAAGCCTTCCTTTGTTTGGGCCCTTGATAAAATATTCTGCATTGTAGAGATTACATGCTTGTAATAAAATATGTATGCTGGCAGTGAGATAGGGAAGAGCGAAGGTCAAGAATTACCTAGAGAGCCAGTTCCCAGCGAAGGCCTCATGCTGCGTTCACATGAGCAGGTTCTCCGGTGAGTCCTCTGGTCATACATCACAAAACTTTCACACGTGAAATCACAATCGCTTTAATTCTGTTACTGAGAATTCCCACCTCACTCTTCCTTGGAACAAAGTTAATCTGTATGTCATAGTGTACTTTAAATTCAGTATTACCTGTGAATTAAGGTAAATATCATACCTGTGCCCAACTAACTTCTAGAGGTAACATTGTTTCCATTAGAAAACACTTCCCAGGGCCAGCCTGTGGCTCACTTGGGAGAGTGTGGTGCTGATAACACCAAGGTGAAGGGTTCGGATACCTGTATAGGGATGGCTGGTTTGCTCACTTGGGAGAGCGTGGTGCTGACAACACCAAGTCAAAGGTTCAGATCCCCTTACCGGTCACCTTTTTAAAAATCTTTAAAAAAAAGAAAAGAAAAGAAAAGACCTCCCCAGTTCCCCTGCAGGACTCCAGGAATCTGCATCTCCCCAGAGATCTCTGTGCCCACGGGCAGCACCTCCAGAGAGGAGAAGACCCTTTGTTGGGGGGACGTGGAAGGGAAGCAGGGGCTTGCTGCTGGAGCTGGCATTCCAAGGGTCGCTGTTATTACGTGTGTGGAGAATGGGCTTTTCTTTCCCTCTATCTCTCTGCTCCCGATATGCAAGGAATGAGCGTCTGTGATGGTGGGGAGGGAGGCGTGGGGGTTGTCCTGGATGTAGATGTCCGTCCATCTGGAATATGCTTCTCTATTACTTTGATGTTGACTCTGTTCATTCTCTGGGACAGGCCCCTTCTATTTCCCACACTGGCAGACACAGGCGGTGACCCGTGGTGACGACAGTTCATCCCCATGACTTCCCTTTGCTCTCCAGCTACCAGTGGGACCCCGTAGAGGGGAGGGTTTTGTGGCCTTGATGCTGCTGTTTTGAACCTGGGTGAAGGAGAGGTGCCAGGAACTGTCATCTGCTTCATTGGGGTTCAGCTCTTGTTGGTGGTGTTGGTGTTTGTCTCTGTTGTATCGACATAACCATAACTTCGGCTCTGCAGGTCAATGTGGCTACAAGAGGGGCCCCTGCTTTCCCAGGACCACTCTACATGCCCTACCCCATGGAAAGCCCTTCATCACCATTCATGGGCTGTGTGCCACCTCCTCCATCCCGGTGGCCTCTGGGACCTCGATCACCACTTCACCTTGGCCTCCACCTCCACATTTGGTATGATGATCTGAACAGTATGAACTGACTTGTAAAGCATTTTCATCTTCTCTCATTGAGTCAATACAGAAAATGTCACATGTGGTACTACAAGGCTTTGCAATACAAGGAAGGGTAAAGCTGGACATTATAAAATCTCCCCACCATGAGTTGGGCGGCAGGTGTCTTTCATAGACAAGTAAAGAGGTTGTTTATAGAAGACAGAAATATCGGTGTTGAAGATGCGTATGGCACGTGGCTCTGTGAGGGATGTCCCTAACTTCAAGGGCTTCCAGTGCCCTACAAGAGGCAGACACACACATCAAAGGGCACAGAGCTCGTGATCACCATAATAGAAGCATCAGTGAAGGCCCCGGAGTACAAAAGAGGGAGAGTGAATCTCCTGGGAATAAATGGCAGGGTGTGGACGAGAGGGAAGAAGTGAGTGGGCACCAGGTGGGAGTGGAGTGATCTCACTTAGGTGGACCCAGGGGGGCCGTTCCCAGCAGGGTCAGCTGCACAAGCAGGGAGCATGGAGGCCATGCAAGGGCCATGCAGATCTGCAGCAGGAGAGTGCAGATGACAGCGTGTGGACAAGGGGATCATCCTCAGCAGAACATCACTGTTGCCCTAAAGCCCATAGTCCATAACCTGAAGTGAAGATGACTGGCTGGGGTGTGTGAAGGTTCTGGATCAGGGTGAGTGCATGACCTGGAGGTCTGGGAAATGTAACTTGGTTTTGTCAGGAGACTTTGTCTGCCTGAGTTTATTGCTTCTGTGAGACTAAAAGTGTAGACGGGTCTAGCTCAGTGGAGTGACCGCGTTGGCCTTCATAATGAGGCAGACTCTTAGCAGGGACTGAAGGCTGATCATGAGCCATGTGGCTAGATGATATCAGTTATGAGGACGTTGTGAGAAAGTAGAGACTGAGCACGCAGAGGAAGTATCTGCAAAATGGCTTTTGGGCACTTACCCTTCTCACTGTTTAATGAAACATTTCCACACAGAAGATCATCAGGAGATGTTCATTGAAATACATTCAATAAATCTACGGGTGTAACAGCTCAGGCCAAGAGATTCACAAAGTTCCCCTCTCTACTACTAAAATTCAGATCTTACTAGATAAAGAAAGAAAAAACAACTATGGCAATGTGTACACTGTTAAATTAAAAGATCCATATGCGAGATCTGAAGCCAATTATTTTTCATGACATATAGACACACAGACGCAGCCACATACAGAAGTATGTCATCAGGGCATGGACATATTACAGAAGACAAAATGTATACAGGAAAAAATACGATCACATGGAAATAAACCAAAATCTTTTTGTCTTACAAGACAGTTCTTTTGAAATCTGAAGAGGATCCTGAGCCACTATAAACAGGCTGTGGCTAATAAAAATTTGAAAAGGTATCAGATGTATGTTACTGTCTGAATGTTTTCTCTGCCTAATACTGCCTCCTTCCTTTTTTTTTTTTTTTTTTTTTTTTTTTTTTTTTTAAAGATGACTGGTAAGGGGATCTTAACCCTTGACTTGGTGTTGTCAGCACCACGCTCTCCCAAGTGAGCCACGGGCCGGCCCTGAAGTGGCTGATTTCTGATGATGGGGAATCGCATGATGGACCAGCAGTGGCCTGGGGAGGCCAGCGAGGAGGCCCTGCAGTTGTCCGGGCTTTGTCAGGACCCTTCCCTCACTTGCCTCCAGAGCTCCATGTCCAGATGGGCTCAGAGGGGTGCTGAGCTGGGAGCAGGGGTTTTTGTCCTGTGAGCCCCACAAGCCTCCTGCAATTTCTTTATTGAGGGATGGGCGGAGGTCAGTGGTGAGAGACCCCCTGAACAGGGCTGGGGTAGAGCAGAGGGCCTGGGGATTGTGACAGAGAAAGGGACAGACAGGCGGTGGAAATGAGAGAGGAAAGGAGAGAAATGCAGTCAGATGGAACAAGAGTGATGGAGAGGCCATGACAATGAGAGAGAGCTAGGGCAGACCCAGAGAGAATCCCAAACTGTACAATGGAGAAGGAAAGTCAGAAGGGAGAGCAAGAGCTAGAGAGAGACCTAGAGAGTGATAGAGGAAGGAGAGAGAGAAGGGGCAGAGAAGGAGAGACAGAGCTACCTTGCATGGTCAATGGAAGGGGCTGATGGGCCCAGGTGGGGAGGGGACAGAAAAGGCAGAAAGTCCTGGGCCTCAGGGGCTAGGGGTGGGGGTGTCCATGAGCTCCAAGGCTCTGCCCTCCATGGTGCCCATCACACATGGAAACTCAGGTCCCCCCTCTGTGGCTGGGTGCTGGGTGGAGCCTCTGGGTCTATCACTGAAGAGGGCGACTTCCAGGAGAGAAAGCAGACCTTCGTCTGAGCCTCCTCTGTGGGGAGGTGACCCCTGAGCTGTCCCCCCCTTGCCCCCATCCCCGCTGCGTTTCCCACCCAGGCTGGCTGGGCCATCATGTTCCACAGGTGACACAAGGCTGGGGTAGGGCTGGAGCCTACTGCCTCCTGCCTCAGGTCTTTTCACCTCACCTCGGTTCCAGCTGTGGCTCTGGCAAACTGTCCACGCAGGCTTTGAGCAGATTCACACGACCCTCCATTCCTGCCTGCCCTGAGAAACCTGGGTGAGGGGTCTGGGATGCCTGGCTTGCCCAGACAGGGTTGCAGCCTCTGCCTCCAGGTATTCCAGCCCTGTCTTTTACCAGAACCTACTGTGTGGTCTTGGGCAAATCTCTGCTAGTGATTCTCCACTATGGTGGTGGGTGGGAGTGGGGGAGATCGTAGAGAGTTGATTTCGAGGGGTATCAGGGGCACAAAGTTTCCTACAATTAAACATTTTAAGGTCACTTCCATACTACCCCTCCCCCAAGTCTCCTGCTCCTTTTGGATGCGCAGGTGAGCGCAGGGAGAGGGCTGCGGTAACAGCACCAGCAACCGCGCACCTTTTCGCTCAGTTACTCCGTGGAGACATCGCGGGGCCCGACGCCCCCTTCTCGCCCCAGCGCCCTGGATGGCCTCTCGAGCCCATTCGGTGGTCAAGATGCAGAGGTCGGGGACACAGGCTCCGCGCGGCTCCAGGTGTCCGCCCCTGCCTGGCTCCGCCCAGGCCCCGCGAGAAGGTGAGGCGGGGGCGGGGCCGGGCGCGGCATCCTGGGTGGGGGTCGGCCCGGGCTTGTGATTCCTCTGGCCCGGAGTGTCCCACACCTGCCTCCATCAGATGTGCCCTGTGCCCGCCAGTAATGTTGCTGCTGCTTCTGCTGCTGCTGCTGCTGGAACCTGGACCCAGATCCAGCGCAGGTGAGTGAGGCACTGGCCTCCCGAGGACCCAGGAGATCCCAGGGCTCCTCCAGCCCTCCCTGCGGACCCGGGAGCCCTATTCCCCAGTTCTCTCCAGGGGCCCCCTCACTCTGTCCTCCCAGGGACTCAGAACTAGCCCAGCCCTTCCCCAGTCCATGCCATAACACCCACATTTACTGTAACTTCTCCAGCAACCTGAAGCCCAGGTCTGGGGTCCTGTGAACTGACCCTATACTCCACCTGTTTGAGGGGTCTGAGATAAGACTGCCCAGGCTGACAGCAGAGGGTGGGAGGATCAGGGGCAGAAGGATCCCAGCTTGGGGGTGGGAGAAGAACATAGTGTCCCCTTCTCACCCAGTCCTGGGGGTTACCCTCAGAGAGGTCCCCTTGGTGGCTGCCTGTTTCTGGGGTACACAGATACAGGTGTTCAGAGGGGAATATACAGACACCACAGGCACAGAGAAGCACAGGCTCAGATCCAGCCCCCAGACTCACCTGGGCACCCAGGTGTATGGCTCATGGACAGACTCACACACAGACCCACACTGCAGACACAGGCAAAGGTATTCCTAGGGGAACATAAACACACACACACACACACACACACACACCTCAGGGACACCTGAGACAGCCCCCAGGACAAGTTCAGATGTGTAATGGACGTACACACAGAAGGGAAGCACAGACACACATATACATGCATGTAGCCACACACACCCACACCCACACACCTCAGGGACACCTGAGACAGCCCCCAGGACAAGTTCAGATGTGTAATGGACGTACACACAGAAGGGAAGCACAGACACACATATACATGCATGTAGCCCCTGGGACCCATAGGGTGCCCAGGCAGCCCTGGCACTCCCAGAGGAGGTTGCCGTGGGCAGGCAGAGCAAATAGACCACACTATGACCTGCCCCACCTATGTTGGCACAGAGGGAGTGTTTTCCTTGGTTCCAAGCAGTGCTGGGTGTCTGTCCCATGCCTGGGCCCTGCAGTGGGCAGTCCCCAAAGCTCTGAGACACCAGAGAATGGTCAGGTCAGGGTAGGGAGCCATCTCTGGGGACAGCTTCACGATATGGTGTTGGGACTGGTACCTTCTTGGGGGTTCTATGGGGCTCACATCCAGAGGTCAAGGGACCTTTCCTGGAAGCTCACCATGTGCCAGGGCATTCTAAGCTGCCAAAGTTAGACATCTGTGCCGGAAGAGCTCCCAGTCTAGAGGTTCACTCCCATAAGCAGAAGCAGCACATATGGCAGGGGTCCCTCTGGCCACCTGAAGGGTGAGGCAGATTCTGTAGGGAGGTAGCCCATGAACTGGGTGAGGATGGGGTGAGGGCATTTGTAGCAGAGTGTGTAAGTGACAGGGTATACCTGGAGGGGACAGTAAATGGTTCCAGGTTTGGGAGGGAGAATGCTGGGGAGGTGGAAGGGGCTGGCTCCCGCAAGACCTGGGGCTGCAGTGAGGCCCCTGAGCTTTCTCCAGACTCGGTGGGAGTCATGGGAGGTTTGAGGCAGACGTGCGGGCTGCTGGGAGAGACCTGTCATTGAGAGAGGAAGGTGAAGGTTTTGGATCCTGAACTCGCTTTTACATTTTCTTCCTATTTGATTCATCTCTATTCCCTCACACTAACATGCTACTTTTTCCACTGAGAACAAACAAAATTGGATTGAAATTTGGGCTAGACTCCTCAAAAACATCAGTGTGATGAAAACATGCTGTAGACGTGAGAAAGGATGACCTAATGCAATGCCTCAACCTCTGCTGGATGCTCCACCCCTGGAGCGGTGGGGAGCAGCCTCAGGAGATAGCAGGCCTGGGCACCAGCTTCGGCTCTGTCCCCCAGGCTGCTTCCTCCGCTGCTGTCACTGGGCAGGGAGGAGTTGACATGGGCAGGAACTGGGGAGCCACCGCACAGGAGCCCTTCTTGGTGACAGGGACCCTATCTAGCTCATCTCTGATGCCCAATGCCCGGCACAGGCAACTCAACAAACATTTGATGCACAACTTGCAATCTGACTGCGTGTGGAGTTGACTTGGGCAGGGGATTGGGAATCAGGGCATTCCAGAAAGAGGCACCAGCTGTGCAAAGGCCCAGAGGCGTGATCTCTCACATGCTGTGGTCGATGACTCATTCTTCTTTTCAAAGCTGCCTGAAGGATGCTGATTATAATAGTTAGAGCTTATTATGTGCCAGGTACTTTACATGCATGATCTCACTTTGTTCTATGAGTTTAGGTCACCTTATCCCCCATTTTACAGACGAGAAAACTGAGGCACAGAAAGGTTAGTCATTTGTCCAAGGTTACACAGCTAGGGAGTAGGATTCAATCCCAGACAGGTTGCAATATCTGGGCCTTTCTCAGGCTGGTGCCCTTTCCTAGGGTGAGGGAAGCCCTGACCTGCAACCTCTGACCTTTATTTGCCCCCAGCCTCTAGGAGGTCACATGTGCACCGACGTGGGATCCTGGAACTGGCAGGGACTGTGAATTGTGTTGGGGCCCGAAACCCCTTGGCCTATGTGGACTATGGCTGCTACTGTGGCCTGGGTGGCCGTGGCAAGCCCAAGGATGCCACTGACTGGTGAGTGCCTGCTTGGACCCAGGCTGGAAGGTCCCTCACCCCCTGGGGTAGTGTAGTCAAGTCCCATGAGGAAATACCCAAAACTGATTTTGGGGTTTGGCCCAGGAAGATCCCAGCACATGGTACTACCTTGAGGGCAGAACACCTCCTGGGTAATGTGGCCAGTGAGGTCAGATATTGGTGCCAGCTGCCCCTTATCCTGGCCATGGGCTGATTACATTGCCTACAAAAATACAAACATAAAGGTAACCAGACTTATTATGTATTATGCACCAGGAACTGCTTTGAGAATCCCACTGAGTCCTCACAACAACCCCACTTCATAGATGAAGAAACAGAGGCACAGAAAGATTAAGTAACTTGTCTAGGGCCACACAGAAGAAAGCGTGGGAGCTGGGCTTTGAACCCAGGCAGTCTGGTGGGTTCGTGCCCCCAACCTCTGCACCCTGCTACTGTGTGAGAAATGCCTGCTCTGTGCAGGGCTGGGGGCTGAGGTCTTTCCATGACTTCTTCTCATTTGTCCTCATGACCATTCTTAGAGATAGGCATGAGGGTCACCCCCATTTTACAGATGAAGGCCCTGAGGGTTAGAGCAGCACAGCCACTCACTCTGCAAAGCTAGGAAGCAGCAGAGTACAGAATCTGGTTGCCTCTTCCCTAGCTTGTCACCTAGACATCTTTACTTATCTCGGTGCCTGGGACACTCCTGCAACCAGCCATGCACTCCCACACTCCGGTTGTCTGGTTCCTGCATATCCTTCAGTTGTGACTCAGGCATCATCACCCGCTCCAGGAAGCCTTCCCTGAAGCCTAGCTGGGCCTGCCACCTCCTCTGGGCTCCCAGAGCCCCCAGTGCTTACCCCGCATTCCAGCACTTCTTACCACGCTTGTGTCTGGTGGCTTGTTTGCCTACCTTGCTAGATTGGGGGCTACCTGAAGGCAGGGTAGGAGGTGGCCAACCTCTCCACACCAGACCTTGACAGAGTGGGGCTGATGATGGGTGGATGGAGAGAATACCAGTGAATGAGTGAATGAGTGAATGGATGAGTGACTGGTGGGTATAGGGGTCTTTGTGAGTGTTCCTCAGGGAGGTGTTCAACAGCAAATGTGTACTGAGGTCCTGTTATGTGGCAGGCCCTGGGCTGGGCCCTGGGCACACTGTGGGAACAGGACAGACATGGTCCCGCCCTCACAGAGCACTGGTTAGACATTAATGAGGCTTATAATGAGGGTTTCATTGTAAACCTTCCCTGAAGGGAAGGAACTTGGTTTTATAAAAGGGTATATCAAGGAAACTATCATAGCCCAGGGAAGTAGATGGAGGTCTGGATGACATCCTGGGGTGGGGGCTGGTGCTGGGGCTGAGACCTAAAGGGTGAAGAGTGGTCATGAAGTTGTCCCAGGCAGAGGGTATGACATGGGCAGTCAGGAGGTAAGAAGGGCTTGGCTCACTCAAAGAACAGAGAGGAAGCCGGTGTGGCTGGAGCTACTCCAGGGTTCGGAGGCTCAGAGAGTGAGGCAGGCAGGTGGGGACCAGGGTCAGGCATGGCCAGGTGATGGAGACAGTGCAGGGCATGCTGGGGCTGTGGAATTCTTCCCAGGATGGGATTATCAGGGACAAAGCTTGGACCAGAGGACGCTGGCTCCTTGGGAATCATCACTCACCCATAGTCCTGGCAAGGGAGGATGGACAGGAGAGATCCCTGCCCTCACCTACCAGCTGGTCTGCCTGTCTGACATCCGCAGGTGCTGCTTTCACCACGACTGCTGTTACACTCGTGCCGAGGAGGCTGGCTGCAGGCCCAAGTTGAATCCCTACCCCTGGCGGTGCATCAGTAAGCGCGTTGTGTGCGGTGAGTCCCCATCACAGCACATGCCAACCTCCCCAAGTGTCCACTGGGCATCCTGACAGAGCCAGATGACTTCTGTGCCCTTGTTGAAATAAGATGGGCCGGCCCGGTGGCACACTGCTACAGTGCGCCGCTTGGGAGCACGGCGGCGCTCCCACCGAGGGTTCGGATCCCACATACAGACCGGTTCCCGCTCACTGGCTGAGCGAGGTGCGGGCGCAGCACCGAGGTTTGCGATCCCGTTGCCGGTCCCGGTCCGGTACGGGCGCGACACTGAGGGTTGCGATCCGTTGCCGGACACGAAAAAAGACAAAAAGGAAAAAAAAAAGAAAAAAGAAATAAGATAACACTGCTTTCAATTCTCCATAGACCACCCTTTGGGTTTATCTAATATAAGTGATCTTTGACAATGAACACTTGAAAAAATGCCCAAAGAAACCTATTTCTTTGGTGTCTGGACAAAGAGGAAAAAGATAGAATTGATACCAGGTATAAACAATCTAAGTGTCCATCAGAAGGGGGCCGTGCTAGGCCGGACCGTGGCTCACTCGGTAGAGTGCGGTGCTGATAACACCAAGGCCACGGGTTCGGATCCCACATAGGGATGGCCGGTTGGCTCACTGGGTGAGCATGGTGCTGACAACACCAAGTCAAGGGTTAAGATCCCCTTACCAGTCATCTTTCTTGAAAAAAAAAAAAAAAAAAAGAGGAGACATGAAAATAAACATATTTTAATATAACCTGGGCTGTAATAGATCCCAGAAGGTTGGAAGTTTGGGGAGATAGGATGTGGGAAGGCATCTCAGAGAGGTAACATTTGAATTGAGTTCTTAAAGAACAAATAGGGCTGGCCTGGTACCCTGCAGCCTGGAGAAAGGACAAGATAGAACCATATCTGACATTGAAAGATAAGTGAAAAAACAAACTGCAAAATGACTTTTCCAGTACAGCACCATTGGTGTCTTAAAAAAAGAGGAAAGAAACTTGCAAAATTGTACCATACTACTTTCCCTGGCTACATGTAGTCATATGCAAAGCTCAGAAAAAGATGTGCCAGGATACACTCCAAATTGAGGATAGCTGTGGTCGTCTCTAGGGACAGGATCAGGTTGAGGGGAGCAATGGCAACTTCATGTTCTCTGTAATGTTTGCATTTTTTACAAAGATGGTGTCTTCATGAATTACTTGTGAATTAAAAGTTAGAAAGAAAAGTAATGCACAACTTGGAGTGATTAAGGGTAAAATGCACTGATATCTGCAACTTACTTTAAAGCATATCAAAACAAAGCAAAGGTAGATGGATGAATGGATAGAGAGATGGATGGATGGAGGGATGAGTGATGCAGTGAAATGTTGATGGTAGAATCTGTGTAAAGGATATACTTGTACAGATGTTCTCTGAACAATTCCTTCAACTTTTCCCTTTTTAACAAAAAGAGCAGGCTTCTGGCTTAGAGTCTTATCTAAGAACAGTTCTATACCTACTACATTTAATTCTGGCTTAAAAAAAATCCTTTGTGTTTTCTATCTACCTATTTATTTATTTATCTTTAACCACAAGCAACTTGTATTTAATGAGGAAAATTGTCGCATAATCCTTATAATGTCACAATATACATTTTACATAACCAACCACTTCTAAAGTTAAAAGAAAAATAAAACTACAATTACAAACGTCATGTCTCTCAGGGCAATCTTATCTGATTTTAAAACAAAGCAATATCAAAAGGAGTGAAGTATTTATTTATTTTTTCCCTTTTTGTCTTTTTTACTGACCGGTAACGGGATCACAACCCTCGGTGTTGCGTCCGCACCATGCTCAGCCAGTGAGCGGGAACCGGTCTCCACATGGGATCCGAACCCTCGGTGGGGGCGCCACCGCGCTCCCAAGTGGCGCACTCTCCAGTGCACCACCGGGCCGGCCCTGAAGCATTTATTTTTAACATTACCTTTTTATGGGCGCCACCGCGCTCCCAAGTGGCTCACTCTCCAGTGCACCACCGGGCCGGCCCTGAAGCATTTATTTTTAACATTACCTTTTTATGTATGGTATATTCTATTTGCAATTTCCCTTCAAATAAATTAAAAGGCTAAATCATTTGAAAACCTAGGAAGTAAGTAATAGTACAGGCAGAATATAGGTAAGACTTGAGATTTGGAGTTATCTGAGGATCTAGAAATGACCCAAACAACTGATTCCATCGCTTTTCCCCCCTTTTCTTCTTAAAACAAGGATAAGCATAACATAAAATTTACCATCTTAAAGTGTATACCTCAGTGATTTTTAGTACACTCACAATGTCACAATGTTGTCCAACTACCACCAATTATAACTTCCCCTCAAAAAAAAACCCATACTGAGGGCTGGCCAGTCAGCTCAGTTGGTTAGAGTATAGTGTTTGGATCCCCATACCGGCCAGCCGCCAAAAAAACAAAACAAAAACCTATATGCATTAAGCAGTCTGTCTGCATTTGTCCCTACCACCAGCATCTGGCAGCCACCAATGTGTTTTCTATCTCTATGGATTTACCTAGTCTAGATATTTCACATTAATGGAATTATCGATATGTGGCCTTTTATGTCTGGCTTCTTTCACTTAACATAATGTTTTCAAAGTTCATCTATGTTGTAGCAGGAATCAGCACTTCATTCATTTCTACGGCCAAATAATATTCCATTGTGTGAATATACCACGTTTTATTTATCCAGTTATCCAACGATGGACATTTGGGTTGTTTTCTCCTTTTAGCTATTGTGAATAGCTAAACAAGTATTTGAGTACCTGTTCTCAATTCTTTGGAGTATATACCTAGGAGTGAAATTGATGGGTCATATTGTTATTGTATGTTTTACTTTTTGAGAAACCACCGAACTGTTTTCCACTGCAGATGCACTATTGGACATTCTCACCAGCAATGTATGAGGGATCCAGTTACCCCAGAGCCTCGTCTATTTTCTAGTTGTTGTTTTTTTTTTTTAATAAGTGGGTATAAAGTGGTATCTTATTGTGGTTTTGATTTGCTTTTCCCTAGTGACTAATGATGTTGAGCATGTTTTCTCATGTGCTTCTTGGCCACTTTTATATCTTCTTTGGAGAAATGTCTATTCAAGTCCTTTGCCCATTTTTATTGGGTTGTTTGTCTTTTTCTTGTTGAATTGTAAGAATTCTTTATACATTCGGGATACTGGACCCTTGTCAGATCTATGATTTGCAAATATTTTCTCCCATTCTATAAGTTTTCTTTATTTTCTTGCTAATGTCCTTGATGCACAAATTTTTAAAATTTTGATGAAGTCCAATTTATCAGTTTTGTCTTTTGTTGCTCATGTTTTTGGTGTCCTAAGAATCCATCGCCAAATTTAAGGTCATGAAAGTTTACCCCTCTGTTTTTTTCTAATAGTTTTATAGTTTTAACTCTTATATTTAAGTTATTGATCGATTTTGAGTAAATTTTTATATATGGAGTGAGGTAGGGATTCCAACTTCATTCTTTTGCACGTTGTTATCCATCTGTCCCAGCACCATTTGTTGAAGAGACTTTTCTTTCTTCATTGAAAAGTCTTGGTACTCTTGTTGAAAATCACTTGGCCCTAGATGGATGAGGGTTCCATCTTCTCGAGCTAATGACTTGACCTCTCTGAGCTTCAGTTTCCTTACCTAGAAGATGGGTGTTGCGAGGATGAGAAAAGGGTTTGTAACGTGATAAACAGATTGGCCAGGGGTTGTTTTTCTCTCCCTTCCCCTCTCCTCCGTCTCTCATCCTGAACTGAACCTCTCTGACCCCTGCTACCTCCTCTAGAGAGAATCAAGGATCAGGTATGACTCTTCACTAAAACCCTGGCTTTGGCAGGCTTGGTCTGTTCTAGAGGCAAGGATGCTATCCTAAGTGTTACTAGAAGGATGTTTTTAGATATGCATGGATTCTCAGCCATATCTCCCTTGTATGAATTAGGAGTTGGCATAAGAGAAAAGCTGAATTAATATGGAGCCATAATATCAATTTTTAGGACTGAAAGTGCTGTAGATGTTATCTCCTCCAAACTTCTCATTTAGAGTTGAGGAAACTGAAGCCCAGGGAGAGGAAGTAACTTGTCCCTAAACTGTCCCCATCCAGTGTGGTGGAAAGGAGGTAAAATAGAGCTTGAATAGAAAATCTGCTAGAGATCTTTCAGTTCTCCCTTCAACTTGTATGTTTTGCTTGCTCTTACCCATTTGAAAATTATGTTTATAAAATATTTATTGGTGTTTCTGCTGGTAGAGTCCATGCCTGTTTACAGAACTGTTTTCCCTGAACAAACTGAAAAGAACCAAAATATCTATTATGCATTTTTGGCTAAAAATATTCTCTTATTCTGTTTGGAGATATTCTGAATATAGTTGTTTATTTAATTACAAGTTTGGCCCATTTTCCATTTATGGGCCTGACTTAAATATATTTTATAAAATTTAAGCCTATAATAATATTTACTGGCAGGCCCTAATTTTAAACTGGATGCTTGGAAGCTATTTTTCCTTTTAAGCTTTTGTTCTTCTTGAAAACATGATGCCATCAGGTTCCTGAGGCCATGGAGCAGTGAGGCTAAGTCTTGGTTTTGAAAGAATCTTTCTTGCTCAGGGAGGAGGGGGGAAGGGCAAGGGAGGTCCAGGTGTCTGGGCAGATCTGGGCTGGAATCCTGGTCCACCCCTTCCCAGCTCTGTGGCCTTGGATGAGTTACTGAATCCCTTTGGGCCTCACTTTTCTCATCTGTAAAATGGGAACAATCAAATATAGTTGCTGGGTTTAAGTATTGGAAATGATGCATGGCTTTTCTATATTCTCTCAACAAATGTTATTGAGAATCTACTCTGAGCCAGGCTTCATGCTAAGTTTTGGGGTTTTTTGTTTGTTTGTCTGCAGCTGGCCAGTACAGGGATTGAACCCTGGACCTTGGTGTTATAAGCACCATGGTCTAATGAACTGAGCTAACCGGCTAACCCAAGCTAGGTTTTGGGCAAGACAGA